TCTCAAATTCAAGTTTTTATAAAAAATATTCACCATATTTTATATTTTCTGCTCAATTCCCTTTTATTTTTTTTTAAAGAAACCATAACTTGTTTTATTATAAGGATTGCTGATTTTATTTCACCAAAAAGGATGATGTAAAGTTTTAGTGATCATTGTTACATGTCTCAAGCATACAGTATGGATTTTGCATAAATACTGTTTTAAACAATTATCTTTAGTTGAAGTAGCTTTGTAATATTAAGGAAGTTTTAAGACAATTTTATTGTAATCCTACTATTCTAACAATTGCTTTCATTTCTATTTAGAATCTTTACCCAGGGTACATGCTGTTTTGAACAGTTGTAATTATAATACATACACAATTTGGGGATCTGCTTTTTTAACCTTATGCTATTTTACAGACATTGCTCCATATTGTTATGTAATAGTTACATTTATTATCCTAAATGTCCATGAATATTCCTTTGAATTACCATAATTTTTTATTCCCCTATCACTGAAGTTATTTCCAATTTTCTGCTCTTATATTTAGTGACCACCTATGTACAGATATTTCTTTGTACAGAACTCCTTTGTTCTTTTTACTTCATTGCAGTAAGTCCCAAAAGTATAATTTAGAGGCCAAACCTACAAACCAATTTTTCCATTGGTTTTTGTGTTGTTAAATACCTATTTTCGGTTTGTTTATTAGTTATTTGTCTCTGTATTTAAATTCTATTGTAATTGTATTTATTACTTATGAACAGTTGAATGATTCTTATTGCTGGCTTTTGGGCTTGGGTATCCGTGAATCAGACGCCTCTAAAATAAAGAACTGCATAAAGCAGCAGGGCAGGAGGAAGTCCATATAAATACAGGAGGGACATTTTATAGGCTTCTGTAGGGATTCTATAACTGCAGAGTGAAAAAAACTTTTTCTGCAGGAGCTTAGAGCATAATATAAAGAACAGTGTAAAGGAGGTGGAACAATTCAAGAAGTAACAATCTTAAATACATAAGAAGTAGCAAGTTAAACTAACAGTTTAAAACTTAAAGCAGAAGACCACATACACTGTCATTTACTCACAGCTTGATTCTTCACAGGGAAAGAAGTTGTTCTATTTTCTTTCCTGTATGTTACAGAAATTTGTAGTTAAGAAACTCATCCCCATGGCTCAGCACCCGTAGCTCAGTGTTTATGGCACCAGCCACATAGACCAGGACCAGCAGGTTTGAACCTGGCCCGGGCTTGC